TTGCTAATCCGACGCTGTGGTGGTTGTCCAGAAGACGATGCTGTGGGCGTGGTAGGTTCTACTTCTTCTTCTACAGCTGAGTAATTCAGTTTTTTAAGAAATCAGAAATTTGACTTAACAAAAAATCACAAAACAAAAATAAAATTATATTTTTGTTAACTAAAAGATGTTTACCTTGTTCTTGTTGTTCCTCAGGCCCGGCGTCGGCAACTGGTTCGCGGTGACGTCGTCTTCTACCTCCACGAATATGGGGAGGAGGTTGATGCCTCGCTCGGTGTGACTGCGTCCTCTGGGGTTGGACGTAGCTCTCTTGTGATAAAACTTGGCTTGACGACGTCCCTTGACCGATCTCTCCGCCTCCGACAGTCAGAGATGTGTAGAGAAGGCTCTTGGCATATTGGATTGCCGCCTGCATCTCCGGATGGGCTGTATGATATAGATGCTCAACATTGGATAGCACGTTATAAGCCCCCTCCATGCCGCTAGCCTGAAAATTTAATTCAAAGTAATTTTTATGAAACGCAAAAAATAAAATAATAATAGAAAAAAAAAACACACACACACACACACAAATTATAAACACTTACATCGCACTTCCAATGCTCGGCAAGTGGCTGATAGCCTCCGTCTTGTTGTACCACCGGGTACTTAGCAGGGTCACTGATTAGTCTCACAGTCCTGCTGTGAAACCAATCAAGGTAGCCCTCGCCAGGCTGTACGAATGACTCCACACGCTCATCTGGGAGGACATTTTGGTGTCGTTCGACCCAAACATTCCCAAACTGGGAATGAAAGTCCACCCAATCATATACGCCCCTCCCGGTCATTCCCTGGCCTCGGTGGTGTGTCTCCCAGTCGACCTCACCCGTAATGATCGGAGTGTCGGGGATGGACTGATGACACCCGAACTGACGGAGGACTCTACCCGGCTCCTGGGTTTCACGGATGTCCCAACAGAACATCCAGCCCCTATACATCCAGAGGCTTGAATGTTCTGTACACTGGCCCGGGAGAGCATTAGCATTCAGAAGCTCTTCATACGGCATCCAATCGAACTGTAAAAAACAAAAAAAAAATAATAATAATTTCGTAAGTTATTAAAAGATAAAACACATAAAACAAAAAATAAAAACCAAACAACTACTTACATCCGTCTCTCTTAACCCTGTCAGTTGGTCCCGGACAGCGGCTGTTCCCGTTACTATATGTTTCGTGTCCTTCCGTCCCACCCACCTTAAAAATCACAGAAAAAAAAACATCAGAAATTGTAATTAGGTAATTAGAAAATTGATAATTGAAATAATAAAATTATAAAATATATAAATAAATATCATTACCTTCCACCTAAAGGACAACCAATGACAGTTTGAAATCTCGTATCCTTCATTCTCGGGCGAAGCCGAGGGATACGTTCCCATGCCCAAACCTAAAGATATAGCCATATTCATTTGTTATTAAATATTAGTCTAAATTAGAAAGAAAATGAATTTTGAAATAACAATTAATTAAATGTACCTGAATCAATTGGACACAACTCTTGATCCAGCCTTCCCCGGTCTGGTAGCTCGTGCACAGCGCTCTATACACTGCGGCCAGTAGCGCCGACCCCCAGCTGTACTCCTTGATCTTATCGATGTTGCGCAAGAGCTGGGTCCAGTACAGGTTGACTCCAGACGCCCTCTGATCGGGAAAGAAGAACGATCCAAGGCACCAGAGGATAAGTGCCCTCGCCCTCTCTTCGTAGGTCTCAATGTCTTCTCCATCTTGCAGCACTCTGTTGCATTCGTTTTCCAACCTCGAGTGCTTCAGATACTGGCCTACGATGCCCCATGTTTTGGGGTTGGCTGTCGGGTCGTCTGCTTCCTGAGAGTCATTTGTATATTTAAAAATCAAACAATGGATTATACATAAAAAAACAAAAAATAAATAAAAAAAAAAATGTGTTAAAAAATTTACCTGGGGGTCGAACCCTAGAAGGTCCACACACTCGTCTCGCCATTGCCGGTTTGTAAAATCTACAGTCTCTCCCCAGCAAGGCTTTCCATCTACCGGGAGACCAAACAGGACTTGTACGTCCTGGAGCGTGATTGTGGCCTCCCCGAAATCAAAATGGAAGGTGTGCGTCTCCGGTCGCCACCTTTCGACCAGACAGGTAATTAGGCTGTTGTCGGTCTGGACTCTGCCCATCCGAAACAACGGCCCAAAATCCGTCCTATCGATCACCGCTAGAACCGCTGGATGTTGTCTGTCCAACACCTTCCAAAATTCAGTGTCGTTACGGCGGTTTTTAATGGTGCCGTTACGACATCCTTCTAAATCTTCATATACCGCTCTCGACCGGTGGCGGTACTGAAGGTATAGAAGGGAGCGATCAATCGGACCGGGGTGTACATTCAACCGTTGAGGTTGTGACGAGGACGATGATGCCATTTTCTACAAATAAATTAAATAAACAATAAATTCACAAATTCACAAATAAATTATAGTTGTGAGTAGATTCAATATCTTTATGTAATCATTTCCAGTTTTCCTCAAGGGACAGAACAGATAAATGGTTGCATTACTCTTCAATATCAAGAAGTATACCAGATGTTCAAACTAAGAATCCTTGGACTTCACATAAATTACCATACCTATAAGTCATCTAGCAAACGACGAATTTCGTCTATCACTACAAAACAACAAAATTACTCATAAATCTAAAAACAATTAACGCAGCATATGAACATCAAACAAACTCCAGAAACTCCAAAATTTCGTCTATCACGACGAATTTCGTCTATCACATATGAACATCAAACAAACTCCATCAACCACATCCAGAAACATTAACGCGAATCTAAAAACGCAGGATCACAAGCAATCGAAAAACAACAGCTCGCATGATGAACACAACGGCAAAAAAAAGCTCCAAAATACGAAAATGTATCTCAATCTACTCGCATAGAAAACAATTACAAAAGTCGATCAGCAAAATTCGAAATCCAAGCACGACGAAACTAAATCATCTCGAATCAGTACAATGAAAATATAACATAGAAACTCAAGGAACCACAAACTTCACAAATTAGACCCAAACATACGCAGAAATTCAAAGATAAGCTATGCATATAAACAACAAATTCACAAATAAATTCACAAATTCACGAATAAATTCACAAATTGAAAACCCTAAATTTAGCCCTAATTTGAGATTATAAAAAAATTGACAAAATTAAAGACATAATAGATAGAATGTACCTTATATGAGGGAAGTAGGCGAGGTGGTGGTGCTGCAAGTGGCGGTCTTCGGCCGGTAAAATATTTTTTTTCCTTCTGTTCGGATCTCTGGTCTCTCTCTCGCTCTTCTCTGCAACTCTCTATTCTCTTCTCTGATCGCGTAAGGAAGGAGAGGAAATTTTTTTTTTTATATTTAAGCGTAAAACGTATTCTGGGAATACGTTTTACCTTTATTTAATTGTAAAACGTATTCCCGGAATACGTTTTACTATTAAATAAAGGTAAAACGTATTCCCAGAATACGTTTTACATGTTACAAAAAAGGGAACTAAGGATCCCAGATTCGGGACTCGAACCCGGGTTCGGGTGAGTCCGTTATCTCTGGGTGCACCTCGTTACCATTAGGCCGCGCTAGGCTATCGCTGATATTTTTACGCAACTTTTGTTCTTATCCTTCACCAGGAATATTTTGTATATTATATAGTATTTATAATATATACATATATGTTATAATTTATATAAACATATGTATTATATATAGTATAGTATATAACATATCTCAGGTGGGAGCGAAATTCTTCTGGTGGGAGCGAAATTCCTTTGGTGAAGTGCATTGTATTCTGATCGAGTGATCTGGATTTTGGTAGAGTGGATAGTGCCAAGGGATAGGCGACGACATTTGTTTTTGTTCGTTAGGACCTGTGTTCGTTTTAGGGCTTCGTGGTGTGTGCAGCAATGGGGGATAAATCTCCGGGAAGAACATCTACTAGTGAATGGAGCGACGATGTCATGAGAAAGTTGCAAGCTATATCTCTTTCTGCTAAAGAAGCTAGAGACATTGAACTTCAGCAGAATGATGTGAAAAACAGTGAAGAAGAATGCAGCAGAAGTCTCTTCGGCAAAATTGTTGGAGATAGACCGGCGGGGATTATGGGGGTTAAACGTACCATGAGCGCGATATGGAAACTCCAGCATGCCATGGAAGTCAAAGAAATCAGCTCCAACTTCTTTCAATTCACATTCTCTTCCCAAGACGATAAAAGGAAAGTGGCAGCAGGACATAATTGGCTATATGAGAACCAATACCTCATCTTGAAGGAGTGGTTTCCAGGTATGAACAGCTCACATAAATGCTTTGAAGAACTCCTCATCTGGGTCCAAGCACTTAATATCCCACTTCATTGGATGAGCACAGAAGTTGGGATGCAGATTGGTCAGATATTTAATGGGGTTAACAATGTAGTTATCTGCAAAATGGGGGGTGAACAAGGTAGCTTCTTAAAACTCTTGGTCTCTCTGAATTTGAAAGAACCTATCCCCAGATGCTCATCAGTTAAACTTGGACCTCTTAGAGTGTTGGTGGCATTCAGATATGAAAGGCTAGTAAACTTATGCTATTACTGTGGTAGGATTGGGCATCTGGATAGGGCTTGTGCTAGTAGAGCAGAGGATATTGAGAATAAAGCAGTGGTGGAAGGGCAATACGGGGAGTGGCTGAAGGCGAAAGAAACTTACTTTGGGGGGAGATACAGTCAAAAGCTAGCAGCTCAGGGGAGAAATACAGTCAGGCTCAGCAACACTTTCACAATGAATCTCTGGTGTCAGCTAATGCTCTTTCTGGACAAGAACATCCTATCATTAGAGAACCAAATGCTACAAACACGGTGACACAAGAAGGAGACAACTTGGAGGGAGAAAATGAAATTGAGAAGGTGGGGGGGCTGGAGCTAGTTCCTGTAGCAGAACCTTCCCAGAGGGCAGACCAGGGGATTGAGAAGGATATGGATGTGGAATCCTCAACTGGCCAATTGGTAGAAAGCATAGATCTAGATAAGAATCAATCTATAGAGGGTAGTAAGGGTATAAGAACAGTCACCAAGTGGAAGAGAAGAGCAGCCACTGAAGGTAGACTGGTGAGGATGGAGGTCCAGAACCAGGCCCTGAGCAGTTTGGGGAATCATTATCAGTCAGCTCCTCAACAATCATTGAAAAGAAACAGGGAAATTGTATCATTCTCAGAGAATCCAATTAACAATGAAGAGGACTTAAGAGGAAAGAGGAGGAAAGAGTCTAATGTGAAAACAAAGGTGGAGAAGGCCAGCCTCAAATGGCCCCAAGGTGACAAATGAAGGCCATGGTGTGGAACTGTAGAGGGCTGGGTGGGCCCTGTACAGTTTCCCAGATCAAGGACTCAAGAAGAGTCCACCACCCAAATGTCATTTTCTTATCTGAGACTAAAAAATCCATTGGCTTTACTAAAACAGTTTGTAGAAAGCTGGGTTATGATAATAGATGGCACCTGGAACAACCTCTTGGTACTAGAGGTGGGTTGTTGGTTATGTGGGATATGGATACTGAAGTTAGACAACTGATGGGCAATGAATTCTGTATTCAGATGGAAGTTAAGAGTGGAGGGAGTTTAGATTGGAGCTGGATGATATTTGTCTATTTGAGCACTGATAAACCAACCAGGGAGAAACAATGGGAGTTTTTGGTGGATAGCAAACAGAAGTGGGGACCTTGCTGGCTTATAGCAGGAGACTGGAATGACCTAACCAGTAATGAAGAGAAAAGGGGAGGGCAAAGAAGGCTGGAATCTAGTTTTCAGGGGTTCAAACAATTTATCTCAGACATGGAGATGCAGGAAATGGAGCAGAAAGGGGCTTTCTTTACTTGGGGCAATAATAGAACAGCAGATGGGTATGTAGAGGAGAGGCTAGACAAGGTTTTTACTTCTTGGAATTGGCAGCTGATGTTCCCTAAGATGGAGGTCTCGAACTTTTATAGAACGGCTTCAGATCACAATGTCTTGCTAATCACCACAGATACAGCTGTATCTAGAAAAAGGAAGATGTTTCTGTTTGATAAACAATGGATCAAGATGGAAGGGGTTCAAGAAGCTGTGAAAGAAGGGTGGAATATCTCTGTTGAAGGCTCCAGAATGTTCCAGGTGCACCAAAAACTCAAGAGCACTAGGATGGCTTTGCTGTCTTGGTACAAACCTCTGCACAAACACAATGACAAAACTATTCATGAGCTTACAGACAAACTGGAAGGGATGAGAAAGGCTGGTCAATTCAGAGACTGGGAGGAATGGGGAGACTTGAAGACAAAATTAGATGAGGCCCACAAGGATGAAGAGCATTACTGGAGAGTGAAATCAAGGGCAATGTGGCTGAAAGAAGGGGACTCAAACACAAGGTTCTTCCATATTTCTACCAACCAGAGGAGAAAGTCCAATGCAATCCATAAACTGCTTACCACCTCTGGAGCCATTTGTGATACCCAGGAATCTATTGCTGAACATTGTGCCGATTTTTATTCTACCTTATTCACTACTGAAGGCACTACAGGGGGTGATGACCTCCTGCAACATATACTTCCTACCATTACAGAGGATATGAACAGTGATCTTGTGAAGCCTGTTGAAGAGGAGGAGGTGACAACTGTCCTTTTCAATATGGCCATTGATAAATCCCCGGGGGAGGATGGTATGACGGTGGTCTTCTTTCAACACTTCTGGCACCTTATTAAATCTGATGTGTGCAGTGCTATTAAAAGTTTTTTTCAAACTGGGAAACTTCTTAAGAACTGGAATCACACAGTCATTACCCTCATTCCCAAATGCTTATATCCTTAATCATTGTGCAACTATAGACCCATTGCCTTGTGTGGTGTTCTGTACAAAGTTATTGCCAAGCTGCTGGCTGATAGACTTAAGTCTTGTTTGCATCTGTGTGTTAGCCACTCTCAAACAGCATTCATTCCAGGAAGGCACTTGATTGACAATGTGGTAATTGCACATGAAGTCTTCCACTTTCTTCATAGACAGAGGTCTGGACCAAATGCTTTTATGGCAATCAAGCTGGACATGGAGAAAGCCTATGACAGAGTGGAGTGGGAATGTGTTAGACAAACCATGAGAAAGATGGGATTCAATGCTCAGTTTACTAAATGGGTGTATAGCTGCATTTCTACTCCTACCTTTTCCTTTAACTTGAATGGGGCTAACTGTGGGTTTGTGAGAGCTTCCAGAGGGCTGAGACAGGGTGATCCCCTGTCTCCATATCTTTTCATTTTGGTGTCTGAGCTCCTATCATCCTTCATTCAGCATAAAGTCAGTGAGGGTCAATTCAGAGGCATTAGAACAGCCAGAGATGGGCCTATGCTAACTCACCTCCTATTTGCTGATGATGCTCTAATATTTTGTAAAGCTGATGAAAGCCATGCCAATCTTCTCTTGACTATTCTACACAAATATAAGATCTTCTCTGGGCAGAAAGTTAACCTTCACAAATCCTCAATGTTCTTGAGCAAAAACTGCAGTATAGATATGACTGATAAGATCTGCTCTATCCTAAGGGGTGTAGTGGTGAAAAGATCCTCCAAATATCTTGGGCTGCCATTGGGGATTGGAGCCTCGAAAAAGGATGCATTTCAGTATGTGGTTGCCTCTGTGCAAGATAGGATTGGTAGCTGGAAAAATAACTTCCTTTCAACTGCTGGTAAGGAAGTACTCATCAAGGCTGTGCTGCAAGCTTTACCGGTGTTCATAATGTCCTGCTTTGTGCTGCCCCTTGGGCTATGTAAAGACATTTGCAGGATATTGGCTAAGTTCTGGTGGAACAAAGGAGATTTGCAATCCTCTAGCCTTCACTGGATGTCCTGGGATAGACTAACAGCTCCTAAGAGTGAGGGTGGACTTGCTTTTCAAGATATCAAAGTTTTCAACAAAGCACTTATTCTGAAGCAGCTATGGAGATTGATTTCCCAACCTGACCTGTTGGTTTCCAGAGTGCTGAAAAGTAAGTACTTTCCTACCTGCTCTTTATTTGATTGGGTGAAATCCAATGGTGACTCTTGGCTATGGAAATCCTAGGCATCTTTGTTACCTGTCTTGAAATCTCAAATGTGTGTGATTATTAAAAATGGAGCATCAACCAAGCTTAATGACTACAACTGGGTTCCTGGTGTGAAAGAAAACAAACCTGAACTGAGAACTCAGATTGATGGCCATATATTCTGGGTGAAGGACCTGCTGCTTGCAGGTGGCTGCCAATGGGACTCCAACCTAATCAAAGCACTGTTTAAGGAGGAGGATGCTGTAAAGATCTTACAGATCAAAAATCTAAACCCTAGAGCTGCTGACTTGTGGAAGTGTAAATTCACTGATAAAGGCAAATTCTCAGTTAAGAAGGCATACTCGGAGATGATCATAAAAAAGGTTAGAAGCAGAGCCACTGCTGAGAACAGTATTGCTGCTGGGAATAATTTCAGAGCCAGACAGAGATGTTGGCAACTCAAAGTGATGGGGAAAGTCAAGCATTTTGTGTGGCAGTGCTACTCTCAGATTCTTCCTGTAAAATGCAACCTGCAAGGCAGAGGGATTGAGCTGGACACACTGTGTAGTCAATGTGGAGAAGCTGCTGAAACACAAGAACATGTGTTTTTTAAATGCCCCAGAGCAGTCCTTACATGGCAAATTGCCCCAGTTCAATGGAACCGAATTCATAGTGAACAAATGACTGTGAAGGAATGGTGGTGGTGGGTGTCCTCCATGAGCTTTAAAGACATCTCTGAACACAGAATACAGCTATCCACTTACATTTTGTGGTGGCTGTGGAAAGCGAGGAACTTGTGGATCTTTGAGCAGCAATGGATGCCGAGGGAGTGGATCATCAAATCTGCATGGAAGGATTGGGTGGATTTTGCAGTGGCGAACTCCAAAACTTAGGAAGGATAGGAAAGGATTGACTAGGTCTAGTGTCAGTGGTCATCTCCTTTTTTGTCTAGTCTTTGGGTTTTGCGAGTTTGATTGGTGTAATGTCATTTCTCTTGTAAGGTTGTATGCTCGGTTTCAGGTGGACTAATTTGGCTTTTAGTATTGGTAGGGTGCTGTTAGTTTGGTGTGTTGGTTATTTGCTTCCGTCTAGGCCGCACTGTGTTGCGAGTCCTCTCATGTGTGTACTATCTATCTGTACATTGCCAATTCTTTGGCCCGATTTATATGATTATTTATGTCGTTGGAACTATTATATACTATATACTATATGCTATATTACTATTTTACTATATACTATATACTATAACATATTATTATAACATATTACTATATACAATATTACTATAACATATTATTATACCATATTCGAGTTCAATTCTACTATAATTGACTTCAATTGTACTAAGTTGACTTCAATTATACTAATTCGAGTTTAATTGTACTAATTCGAGTTCGATTTCACTATAATTGACTTGAATTGTACTAATTCGAGTTCGATGTCACTATAATTGACTTCAATTGTACTAATTTGACTTCAATTGTACTAATATGACTTCAATTGTACTAAGTTGACTTGAATTGTACTAATTTGACTTCAATTGTACTAATTCGAGTTCGATTTCACTATAATTGACTTCAATTGTATTAAGTTGACTTCAATTGTACTAATTTGACTTCAATTGTACTAATTTGACTTTAGTTGTACTAAGTTGACTTCAATTATACTAATTCGAGTTCAATTGTACTAATTCGAGTTCGATTTCACTATAATTGACTTCAATTGTATTAAGTTGACTTCAATTGTACTAATTTGACTTAAATTGTACTAAGTTGACTTCAATTGTACTAATTTGACTTGAATTGTACTAAGTTGACTTCAATTGTACTAAGTTGACTTCAATTGTACTAAGTTGACTTCAATTATACTAATTTGACTTCAATTGTACTAATTCGAGTTCGATTTCACTATAATTGACTTCAATTGTATTAAGTTGACTTCAATTGTACTAATTTGACTTCAATTGTACTAATTTGACTTCAATTGTACTAAGTTGACTTCAATTATACTAATTCGAGTTCAATTGTACTAATTCGAGTTCGATTTCACTATAATTGACTTCAATTGTATTAAGTTGACTTCAATTGTACTAATTTGACTTGAATTGTACTAAGTTGACTTCAATTGTACTAATTTGACTTGAATTGTACTAAGTTGACTTCAATTGTACTAAGTTGACTTCAATTGTACTAAGTTGACTTCAATTATACTAATTTGACTTCAATTGTACTAATTCGAGTTCGATTTCACTATAATTGACTTCAATTGTATTAAGTTGACTTCAATTGTACTAATTTGACTTC